GGTTAAAAAAAAAGAAGACACACGCCAGACGGGGAGGAAGTTTCGGTCTAAGACCACACAATCCTTTTTGCGGTGGACTGAGCGGGACGACGCCGCGCTTACACGCTTCCTCGCGCGCGGGCACCCGGCTCAAGCTTTTCACCCACGGAGTGCAGGACGACGTTACGTTTTTTTGTATCTTTACACGCGTGATTTGAAAGAGAACGATATAATACACGGAGGATTCCTCGATCCTGTACACACGCGGTTGCGCATTCGTTTTTCGCTTTTTCGCGCGTTTCCGGAAAGACAAGCGGCACGTGATGCTCTCTGTATTCCTCGTTTCTCGAGGACAAATAAAAAGAGCATCGTGATTCTCTCCGCGATCAAAATAGACATATATATAAATATATATATATATACACACACGCATACATACACACATGTACACATACGCGCGCACACACGCACACACATACACACACACACACAAAAGGAATGCAAATTCTTCGTTCACCCCGTGATCGGATTTCGGGGGATCTTCAGCGTTTATTAGAGTAATCCTCGCGGAATAACGCCGCGCGCCTGCACAGCCCGCCGCATAACCACGTCGGAATCATTGAATGATTAACAAAAAATCTAAAAAAAAAAAGAGAAAAAAAGAAAAGAGGAAGGCGGACGATGTTTTATTAATATTGTACATATTTTAAATAATTGAAGACGAACAAACAGATCGCGCGCGCGAGAATGACGGCGATCCCGACCGAGAGGCGTTTCTCCCCTTCGAGAGAGGAGCGCTTTTTCGTCAGGGGTCCGACCGTACCACCCTTTCTTCTGTTTTTTTTCTTGCGTTTTAGAAAAAAAAAAAAAACGTCGCGTACACCACCACACATTCATACACCCTACACACTGCGCATAGGGAGGACACGGGTTGCACCCCTCGAAAATGAACACGTTATCTAACACCGCTTTATCAGCTATTTATCTCCTGATTGACGATTGAGAATTACTTTTCGCGATTGATTATTATTCGACGAGTTCTGTTTCTTTTTACACACGACACACATACACACGCGTGGATTACATCGCAACCTGATACGAATACAACCCAAGTGTCATTACTTTTGATGTTAAATAAAAAATACATAATTAATAAAGCCGGCTCCCATTTTTCTTACCTTTTCTCTTCAATTAACACGAGTCGAGTAATTAAGAATTGCGTCATTTTTACAATTATATAGAAGCATTCATGTAATGAACTCGCAATTATCATTTTACTCTTATTTATATTTGTAAGTTTATTCTATTGTTGATAGTTTAAAAAAAACTAATTAAAAAAAAATGAGAAATTAACTCTACTAACGAATTATTATAAAATACTTTACAAACAACAGTGTTTTCTAAGGAATTCTGTAATTTATTAATAATTTTTGCAATGTGTAAAAAATATGATACAAACTGAGTTATATTTAAATCTTGCTTTTAATTTGTTTTTGTAAAATGTTTATTTGTAGTCTTGCATTTTGCATTAATTATTTATACATTTTATTGTAAATTTTGTAAAAATTTATCAGTTTCTCAAATTTTTAATGTGCATTGATAAAATTGATAATATTGTTTTCTAATATTTTTCAAATTTTTTAGAATTTAAATGTTTATAGTAAGAACATCTTATTTTAAACAAAAAAATGTCTTATTTTTCTGGCTTGATGTTGACTCGTACTACTTACTCGATTTTAGTTTTCAACGTCCAATCGCGTCTTCAATAACGACTCCAGAGAACGCAATTAGGCGTCCTCTGGCCGTTGCAAAAGCTGAAGGACACGATCAGGCGTCCTTTGGCTCTGGAAAAAAATTAAGGAAATTGAGGTGTTTGCGCGTCAGGAAAGTAGATGACGCTATCATCGTGTTGACATCGTTTGAAAATTTAACGTACACTGTTATGACGCTTCGGTGAAACAGCGTAGCAAAAACGTTTAGTGATTTTGCACATTAAAAGATAGATATGGCTCAAACAGTTGAAACACATATGAAAACTATATTTGAAAAAGTGCAGTATAACAAAACTGATCATCCAAAATGGATAAAAAAACTCACAAAGTTATACGAGAGGGTTAGTTATTTCATGTTTCTTTTACAACAACTTGATTTTTGAAAGAGATATCTTAGTCAAATTTATTATGATTGATAACAATTCAAATTTGATTGTATTAACCAATCATATATGTGAGTAATTTAAAGCAAACTTTTCTTGATATACAAACATGTACATATGCTTTGCTGAAAGATTTTGAATGAATACTTATGATTTCTTTTATTTTCTAGACTGATTTGGATACGTTTTGGAAATGGTTTATCTTGTGCTTGCAACTACCTCTTACAATGCCACAGCAGAATCTACATGTTATAAACACCTTGGAATTTTGTGCCAAATTCTGCATAAGCTTTTATTCATCTGCAGATAATGAAACCACAGAACCAATGTCGCCATTTCTTAGCAAGTTGTTTAACTTTCTCTTATCACATCACAATGCTAAAGATAAAGCTGTAAGATATCGTATATGTCACTTTCTAAATATGCTCTTGAATTCTATGGGTGACCATGCTTTCATTGATGATAATCTGTGCGATCAAATTACAATCACCATGATGGATCGATTGTTAGACAAGTCTCCTAAAGTCAGAGCACAGGCTGTCTTAGCCTTACAGAGATTGCAGGATCCATCAGATGACCAGTGTCCTATTATAAGAATGTATCTGTTCCATTTGTCCAGAGATCCAAGTAATGAAGTTCGTAAAGCAGTTCTTGCTAGTATGGGCAAAAATCAGAAAACCTTACAAGCTGCACTGGCAAGAACACGAGATAATGATGATACCGTGCGCAAATTGGCGTATGATTTTATCAGTAAAATCACAGTACGCTCTCTGACTATTGAACAAAGAGAACGTTTGTTGAAGGATGGCCTTAAAGACAGGTCTGAAATTGTTAGGACATGTGTGTGTGATGTTCTGTTGCCAACATGGCTTCGATATTATCAAGGAGAATACATAAATCTCATACATGCTCTGGATGCTGGAATAGGAACAGAGATTGCAACTCTAACTTTACAAATGCTGTTTAAGTAAGTATCTCGTAAAAAAGTAGCAAGTATCAATGAAACAATTTTATATTATATAAGATATATAACGTATATTTTTACAGAAATGCCAGCGTAAAAACGTTATTGGAACAAGTTCCAATAGATAAAAGTACAAAATTGATTCCAGTGAAAAATTTGTCGAATGAAAATGTTTTATACTGGAAGTGTGTAATACAACATCTTTATCGTCTCTCGTCAACGGAAGAAGTAGAATTGATTCTTCCGGAATTATCGAAATTTTGTGAATATATACATGAATTCATCGCTTTTATATCTTCAAAGTCACGTGAAACATGGGAGAAAGAATGTCATACATTTATTCTTCTACAACTTTTTGAGATATGTAAGACGTATGATCTCGCAGACGAAGTCGGCAGGAAAAATCTAAATGACTTGATAATAGATACTCTCATGAGTGATCACTGCAATAGTAAAATAATCGATTGCATAGTAAATCATCTCACAAAGGTGGTGCCTAATCCCAACAGTATGTTGGATGCTGTTGCTAATGTTATCAGTGAAATTAGACTACCTTCTAAAGAAAGTGCAGTCACTCAACAAGTTACTGCGGAGCAACAGCACGAGAACAAGATGCAAGTAAGGACTACAATCCAGCTCTGTTGATTATACATAAATAAATTTCCTTGCAACTTTTTTTTAAATTTGTTTTCAGAAAGCAAGACTGAAGGTTCAGATATTAGAACTTGAAGACGAATTGTATGATGCAGTAAAAGAAGAGAAGTTTTTAGAAGCTGACAAACTAAAGGACAAAATCAAAGACTTGAAAGAAAAGATGAATCAATTGTCTGAAGCTCCTTTGCCGGAAGCTGCAATGAATGATGATGATATGCGTGAGGAGAAAAATGATACAGCGACTATGGTGAAATGCCTTAGTATCTTGTACACTGCAGTGCAAACCAATTCTATTCGTGCGTTAACACCCACATTGAGAAGTATGATGTCTATTGTTGTGCAAAGTCTCGATGTAAGTATACATTAAATTTTACTGTGTACATAAAAAAATGAGAAAATTTTATCGCAGTTTATGCAATTATTTATTATTAGTTATCCCAACTTAATCTGATTTATCGTTTCAGCATCCCGATGATAACGTACACGTATTGGCATTGAAGGTGTTAACTGTTTATTGTTTATTAGTCAAGGAATTGGCGAAAAAACATATAATGATATTTTTCTATCAATTTTCTCTTGAGCAAGAGACTCGAGAAATATGGCTGACAGCCTTGAAAGGAATATTCGATCTTTTGCTGCGTTACGGCTTGAGTATTTTGAAATCCTACAAAATCCGGAAGACGAGAATTCCATGCAAAACAAGTGTGAAAAAAGTCGTTCGCTTTACACACGCGAGAACAGTATTACGTCTCTAAATAAGACGATGTCTATAAATAAGACGACTGAAATCGAGGAGGGCTCGTGTAATTTTATTAAAATTCTAACTGGACTGCTGGACAATTCGGTAAATAAATAATGTAAATTTATAACAATGTGTATTATAATATTAATTGCATTAAAAAATTTACAGAATCAAGACTTGCGCTTTATCGCTATAGAAGGACTCTGCAAACTATTGGTCAATCAGCGGATCAGCAGCAGTAGCCTAATATCGCGTCTGATAATTCTGTGTTACAATCCAGTCAACGCGAATGATCTTTATCTCCAACAGTGTTTAAGTACTTTTTTTGGACAATTCATAATATGTATACCGGACGCACAAGAAATGCTCGAAAATGCATACCTCCCGACATTGCGTGCTCTTTGCAACGCACCAGACATCAGTCCACTGCAGGAGATCGATGGATATCATGTATCGCGATTTATACTGAGTTTAATGAAGCAAAAATGTCGGAAGTCGAACGGAAAACCACTATACAACCACAACAATCTTGCGTTTACTATTCTGGCAGAGATTTTAAATCCTGAGAGCAAGATTGATCAAGAGATACTCGTTAGATCTTTGCCGAATTTGTACATTGAAATCGAAGACAGCCAGTCGAAACAAAATCTACGAGAAGCCATCGAGAATGTTATGAAAACGGTACGTTAATTCTTTACATTTTTGCGTTAAATCTTTCGTGCATTTGCTTGAATTACCAATTATATATAATTTTACTATAACAACATATTGCACAACCGCAAGACAAAGTGACACAAGTCAAAATTTTTCGAATTTTGTTTATGTATGTACGATATGTGTATGTACTATAATCGCAATTTAATATTTGATAGATAATGGATTCTGACAAACGATTACTTACATATGTTCAACGATTCAAGAAAAGATTAGAGGGATCTTCCGAAACAGTTGCCGAAATTGATGTCGAAAACGAAAACGAAAGTGAAAATGAGGATTAAATCCTTCTTTTTCTTCTTAGTTTGTTTATCTCACTAACAAGAGTAAGTCAAGAGAAGTTTCAGAATTTGTCAATACAACAGTTTATTGTGAGTGTTCAACTCGAAGTTTCTCACTAACAGTGCATTTTTCTGAGTTTAATATTTAATCATTTTATTTTTTTAGGTGCTCTTTACATTGAACTCAGTGAATAATTAAATTTGTAAAATAATTTATAAATGTTTGAAAATATTTGTTGCATTAACAATTTTAAAAATAAAAAACTGACATTCTTGAAATATAAATTATTAATAATTTATATATAGAATTAAATATTTTTACTTTTTTACTTTTTAAATGAAGAATTAGTAATAAGTTGACACTAGAAATAAAAGTAATAACGTTGGAACATACACCAAAAAAATTGCTTTTTAATTGTTTCTCTGATATTCCTAATTGCTCCACTTAATTAATTAAAATAATATTTAATTAATATTAATATTACACCACTATTTACTTAACAAATAATTCTATTTACATTTACTTTCTTTAAAATGTAATCACTTTCTTTAAAATCTAATCCAATCAATAATTTGTATTTCATACAAATTCTTTATTTTTATAAAAATTATTTGTAAAAAAATTAAATTTGTTGAAATATATATATAAGAGAAACTGAACATTTTTTTGTTATATATTGTTTATTTTATCATATTGAATATATAATACTATGTACAATAATTTAATAACATCAGAACGTGTAATTTTAATTACGAATAATCAATGTTTCTTATTATAATTATGTAATTTTAAAATATTGTATCTTTTTTATCTATTCTACGTAAATTGGACACAGCGTTCCAAAATTTATAGACAAAATTACATACAAAAACTGCGAAATTTAATTCGTTCATTCGTTCATCATTTCAATTCGTTGAAAGCAAACTGTAAAGTTTAGTCTTAAAGTTGAAACAATACTTATAAATAAAATAAATGATACCTGTTTCGGGATTTGCAAAACACTTTATTAAAAAATAAAATAATAAAATATATAATATTACGATATTATTGAAATATCAAACAATTATACATGTACTTTATGATGAGTGTACGGTTCAGATTATCATTGCAAATATTTATTACGTGCGCCAGAGATTTTTAGTAGGCGTCCTTTCGAAACCTTACCTCACGGTATATCAACAATGATATTCGTAATTTATCAGCCACGTTATTGGTAAATGTGTGCGGGTTCTGCGTACGGTTATGAAAAGGGGATTTCGAATCGACGAAGGATCGATCGCGATCCTGCATGCTGTTGGTTTTTGGCCTGCCACAGTAAAAGATGTCTCTTTGACTCGCGATTTACTTAGGCATGTAAGATTAGGCGAAAAATTTAGCCATATCTAACTTGATTTTTTTTAGGAAAAGAAATCTATCAGAACTTGGTAAGTGACATTCAATCAATTTTATTATAACACTAAATTTAATTTTACTATTTAATTAAACTTGAAATTATTTATACGATTCTTGGTTCGCCATTTTTCTAATAACTTTCTCTGTTATACGCATTCTTGTGAAAAATAAAACAGATATCGAGAGAATTTATTTTAACATGTATTACATCCAGCAAGATTGGATTTAATGTAGGTAATTTAAATTTTGTCCTTTTTTAAGCAAATCTTATGTATTCACGATTTCTTTCGTCAAAATGCTGGTTTTAATATTCATACACGCATCGCAACTACATATAACAGTAACGCAAAAGTTTTTCACACTATGATTAACTTATGTTTTAATGGTTACGAACTAAATAATGCGAAATGTGCGAATTCCATTCGAGCGAATAGACACGACCAATTATGCGATATCTTTTTGCATAGTAAACTATCGAAGGAATAATCGTTATTATTTTACAATGTTACTTATATTTCCTCTACAATGCTATATTTCTTCTTTTTATACGCACGTATGTAATAAATAATGAACACTGCTGATTTTATGATTTAAAATTATTGTAAAGAACAGATAAATTACGTTATCTATTGAAACAACTTGTAAATTCATATGTACATAAACGTTTACATAAATCAGAGTAGATTTTATGATTTACTTGTTAGAACGATAATCTTTATATGTTGTGATTGACCAAAATTAAATTCATATAATTTCTGATCAGTACGTATAGTAATTATTCATAATAAAATTTTCAGAGAAAAAGATATTAAATTGACGAAACATAACTTCTAAAAATTCAATCAGGACAACACACAAGAAGATGAGTTTCAACACAAGCTTATTATTTGTACTTATTACTTTCTGCATATTAACGAATGAGACACTAGCGTATTTTTTGTGGTCTAATACTGGTGAGTGTTTTATTTCTTTCACATTGAACACGCACAGTAATCTTTTATTATATTTGCTATTATGATTTTTTTCATATAGTTTAGAGGACTCAAATCATTAATAATTATTTAATGTATATAATTAGTTATTATAAATTGTCGTAAATTATAAAAATATGAAGTTGTAAGTTTTTTTTTTAATTTCTCCGCAATGATAGAATAGATATTTTACTGTACATAAATTAAAATATATTTTTCTGTAGTTTACTATATGCGTTATGATTTCCGTTTTGGCATAATGTATATGTTTTTTACAGGGGTGTGGTTTTATATATGACAAAGGTCCTTGCGACACATACGAGTTAAGATGGTGGTATAATGAGACGTCAAAAAAATGTGAATATTTTGTATATGGGGGTTGCGGGGGAAATGTAAATAATTATTACTCTGAGATAGAATGCATTGTCGCATGTGTACCTCAGGTGAGATTCTGTGGTACCAAATGTATTAAAATATTTTTGTAATGGTTTGATATTGAGTTTAAATAGAAATACTAAATGGAAAACTTTGTAAGATTTTTATAAAATACAATTGCAAAAGTATTTCATTTTCACAATAATGACTGTAATAAAATGAAATGTACGGATATATATATGTTAAATATGTAGGAATATATATGTAAATAAAAGAAAGTACTTTTTATTTTACTATTTTTTATTTTTTTTACTATGAATATTGGGCATATAATACTACGTACAGTAATTCAATAATATTAAAGCAAACAATTCAAATAAAACATAATCAGTGTTTATTGAAATCATTTTTGGAAATGTAAGACTATGAAATTTTGATTAGATATTCGTGCAAATTCTACATTTTCTCTATTGTCAAAATTAAATCTGTTGAAATATATATGCAAGAAAAACTCAACATTTTTTATGTCTTTGTTTTACTTTTTTTATTATATGTTGTGTATTTTATTACATACTGAATATATAATACTATGTACAATAATTCAATAACATCAGAACATATAATTTTAATTTTGAATAATCGGTGTTACTTGGAACCTGTTGTAATTTTAAATTATTGTAATATTGTAAATATTGAAATTTCAAAATATTGTTAGCAATAATTTATAGACGAAATTAGATGTAAAAAGCTCTGCGGAATTTAAATTGAATCGGTTGGGACCAAACTATAAAGTTAAAACAATATAGTCAAAATAAATGATATCTGTTTCGAGATTTGCAAAACATTTTATTAAAAAATAATATAATACGTAATGTATAATATTATTGCAAAGTTATTAAAATATTAAACAATACCTACATGTGATTCCTGATGAGTGTACGGTTCAGATTATCATTGTAGCAAATATTTATTGCGAACGTTGTGAGATTTTCAATAGGTATATTTTCGGAGCCTTATCGCACTACATATGAAAAGGATGATATTTTCAATTTATTAGCCACGTTATTAGCAGATCATGCGCAAACTTTACGTACGGCTGTTGGAAGGAAATTTCGGAATCAACGATAGATCAATCGCGATCCAGCATGCTGTCGTCTTTTGGCCGAGCAGAGTGAAAGACGTCTCTTAAACTCGCGATTTACTTAGGCATGTAAAATTGAACAAAAAATTTAGCCATCTTAAACTCGATTCTTCTTAGGAAAAAAAAATCTGTCAGAACTTGGTAAGTGACCTCTATTCAATTTTATTATAACACTAAACTCAATTTTATTATTTAATTAGACCTGAAATTATTTAAACGATTCTTGCTTTGCGACTTTTCCAATAACTTTTTTGTTATACACATTTTTGTGCAAAATAAAGCTATAGTAAGTAAAGATAACAAGAGAATTTATTTTAATATGCATTACATTCAGCAAGATTAGATTTAATATAAATAATTTAAATTTTGTTTTTTTTTTAAGCAAATCTAATGTATTAAAGATTTTTTCGTCAAACTGCTGGTTTTAATACTCATACACGCATCGCAATTATAACAATAACGCAAAAGTTTTCACACTATGATTAGCTTATGTTTTAATGGTTACGAATCAAATAATGCAAAATGTGCGAATTCCATTTAAGCGAATTAGGTTAATAGACACAATCAGTTTTGCGACATTTTTTTGCATAGTAAACTTATCGAAGGAATAATCGTTATTATTTTACAATGTTACTCACATTTCTTCTACAAAACTATATTTCTTGTTTTTGCTTTTATATGTACGCATATAAAAAATAATGAACAGTGCTGATTTTATGATTTAAAATTATTGTAAAAGACAGATAAATTATATTAGATATTGAAACAACTTATAAATTCATATGTACATAATCGTGTACATAAATCAGATTAAATTTTATGCTTTAGACTTAATGTTAGAACATTAATTTTTATATACATATATATAATATAACCAAAATTTAATTTATATAATTTCAGATCAACACGTATAGTCATTATTGATAATAAAATTTTCAAAGAAGAAGAAATTAAATTGATCAAACGTAAATACTAGAAATTCAATCAGGACACACACAAGAAAATGGGTTTCAACACAAGCTTGTTATTTCTACTTATCACCTTTAGCATATTGACGCATGAGACACTAGCGTTCATTTTTTATCCTGAAAGTGGTAAGTGTTTTATTTCTCTCACATTGGACACGCACAGTAATTATTTATTATATTTGCTATTATGATACTTTTCATATAACGTAGAGGACTCAAATCATTAATAATTTTTAATGCATATATTTAGCTATCATAAATTGTCGTAAATTGTAAAAATATGAAGTTGTCAGTTTAATTTCACTGCAATGAAAGAATAGATATTTTACTGTACATAAATTGATGTATATTTCTTTATAGCGTACTATATAGCGTTATAATTTAAATTTTGGCATAATGTATATATTTTTACAGAATGTTCCTATGGTTTTGACGTACCGAATTGCGGCCAAGAATGGAAGGTGAGATGGTGGTATAATGCATCGAAATGGAGATGTCAAAGGTCTTTTTATAGTCCATGCAAAGGACATGAAATAAATTATTTTCGCTCTCAGTTCGCCTGCGTTTTCTCATGTATACATCACTTATATTTTCCAATACTAGGCATTAAACTTTTATTCGAGTAATTTATGTATTGATATGTATTTATAACAGTTTGATATTGAGTTTAAATAGAAGTACTAAATGAGAAACTTTGTGAAGTCTTTCTAAAATGCAATTGCAAAAGTGTTTTATTTTTACAATAATGACTAATTAAAAGAAATGTACGGATATATATACATATATATATTTTTTATGTAGAATATATATGTAAAATATGTGGAGATATATATGTAATTGAAAGAAAGTACTTCTTAATTAAATATTTTTTATCTTTTTTTACTATATTGGGTAAATAATACTACGTACTGTAATTTAATAATATTAATGCAAACAATTTGAATAAAACATAATCAGTGTTAATCGAAATAATTTTGGAAATGTAAGGCCATAAAATACTGATTAAATATTTATGCAAATTCTACAATATTTTACTGTAACAAAAATAAATCTGTTGAAATATATATGTAAAAGAAACTGGACAATTTTTTCGTTCTTGTCTTATTTTTTTTATTATATATTGTTTATTTTATCACATATTGGATATATAATACTATGTCCAATAATTTAATAACATTAGAATATAATTTTAATTTAGAATAATCAACGTTGTTTGGACCATATGTAATTTTAAAATATTACAATATTGTAAATGTTGTAATTTTAAAATATTGTTAGCGTTCTTTTAATTTATAGACGCAATTAGATATAAAGCTGTGCGAAATTTAATTTCTATTGGTTGGAAGCAAACTATAATACGTCCAATCATAAAGTTAAAACAATATAATCAAAATAAGTGATATCTGCCTCGGGATATGCAAAACATTTTATTAAAAAATAATGTAATACGTAGTGTATAATATTATTACGACATTAATGAAATATAAAACGATATACACGTATACTTTATGATGAGTGTACGGTTCAGATAATCATCGTAGCAAATATTTATTGCGAACGCCGTGAGATTTTCAATAGGCGTCCTTTCGTAGCCTTACCGCACTATGTATCAAAAGGATAATATTCACAATTTATCAGCCACGTTTTAGCAGATAATGCGCAGGCTCTGTGTACGGCTGAAGAAAGGGGATGTCGGAATCGACCAAGGATCGATCGCAATCCTGCGTGCTGTTGTCTTTTGGCCAATCATAGTCAAAGACGTCTCTTAAACTTGCAATTTACTAAGACATGTAAAATTGAGCAAATAATTTAGCCATCTTAAACTCGATTTTTCTTAGAAAAGGAAAATCTGTCAGAACTTGGTAAGTGACCTCCATTCAATTTTATTATAATGTTAAATTTAATTTTACTGTTTAATTAGGCTTGAAATTATTTAAACGATTCTTGCTTCGCAATTTTTCCAATAACTTTCTTTGTTATACATTTTTGTGAAAAATAAAGCCATAGTAAGTAAAGATAACGAGAGAATTTATTTTGACATGCATTACATCCAGCAAGATTGGATTTAATACAAATAATTTAAATTTTTTTTTTTTTTTAAGCAAATCTAATGTATTAAAGATTTCTTTCGTCAAAGTGCTGGTTTTAATACTCATACACGCATCGCAATTATAACAATAACGCAGAAGTTCTTCACACTATAATTATGTTTTAATTGTTACGAAACAAATAATGCGAAATGTGCGAATTCCATTTGAGCAAATTAGACTAATAGACACCAATTTTGCGACATCTTTTTGTCATAGTAAACTTATTGAACGAATAATTGTTATTATTTTACAATGTTACTTGCACTTTTTCTACAAAGCTATATTATTTTTTTTTGCTTTTATATCCACGCATGTAAAAAATAATGAACAGTGCAGATTTCATGATTTAAAATTATTATAAAGGACAGATAAATTGTGTTATCTATTAAAATAACTTATAAATTTATATGTATCTTATCGTGTACATAAATCAGATCAATTTTTATGATTTACTTGTTAGAACGTTAATCTTTATATGTTGTAATATGACCAAAATTAAATTTATATACTTTCAGTATAGTAATTATTAATAATAAATTTTTCAGAGAGAAAGATATTAAATTACTGAAACATGACTGCTAGAAATTCAATTATGACAATATACAAGAAGATGAGTTTTAACACAAGCTTGTTATTCGTACTTATTATCTTCAGTATGTTGACGCACGAGACACTAGCGTACTTATTTTTTCCTGATCTTTGTAAGTGTTTTATTTCTCTCACATTAGACACGCACAGTTATTATATTTACCATTATAATACTTTTCATATAACGTAGAGAACTCTAATTATTACTAATTATTTAATACATATATTTAATTATCATAAATTGTCGTAAATTGTAAAAACATGAAGTTGTCAGTTTAATTTCACTGCAATGATAAATATTTAAAATCTAGCTATGTAGAATAGATATTTCACTGTACATAAATTGATGTATATTTTTTTTAGTGTACTATATGCGTTATGATTTAAATTTTGGCATAATGTATTTGGCATATGTTTTTACAGGGTGTAACTTGTGGTATGATAAAGGTCCTTGCAACGAAACTTTGGGGAGATGGTGGTATAATTGGACGTCAGGCAAATGTGAATCTTTTATATATGGAGGATGCAAAGGAAATAGAAATAATTTTATTTATATAACAGATTGCATTGTTTCATGTGAAAACGAGATGGATTATAATGCATGATGCTCTTCGGACCTATATTCTAGTAACCTATGTATTAATACTTATATATTTGTAATAGTTTGATATTGAGTTTAAATAGAAGTACTAAATGAAAAACTCTATGAGGTCTTTCTAAAATACAATTGCAAAAGTGTTTTATTTTTACAACAATGACTAATTAAATAAAATGTACGGATATATATATGTATAATATGTGGAAATATATATATAATTGAAAGAAAGTACTTCTTAATTAAACATTTTTAATTTTTTTTTACTATATTGAGTATATATCCTTTAAGAAATTTTATTTTAGACTGGCCTAAAGTTTATTAAAATTTTGTTTAATAACTTTAAAAGATCGAAAAGTTCTTTTAAGTAAAAAAAATTTTTAAGTTTTGTTTAAGTTATGTCAGAATTTTAAAAATATTCTCGAGTTTTTGCTTCTTTTGTTATTGAAAACATAAAGTTCATGAAAAGTATCTAAAAGTTTATGTAAAGTAACTTAATGGTGGTGTTTAGTAACATAAAATTGGCGTAAAAGTAAGCCAAAGTTTGTGTAAAGTAACTTCAAGACCTTCCTTAGGTAAATTTACTTTTTAAAACTTAAAAAAAATGACCTAAAAAAACATTTTACTATAGAACTTTTCAAAAGTTTTGAAGAGTAAATCCTATTCTGAAGTGTTAAAATTTATGTATTGAAATATTTGTGTAATAGTTTGATATTGAGTTTAAATAGAAATACTAAATGGAAAACTTTGTAAGATCATTATAAAATACAATTGCAAAAGTGTTCCATTTTCACAATAATGACTGTAATAAAATGAAATGTACGGATATATATATGTTAAATATGTAGGAATATATATGTATATAAAAGAAAGTACTTGTTATTTTACTATTTTTTATTTTTTTTTTACTATGTATATTGGGCATATAATACTACATACAGTAATTTAATAACATTTAAGCAAACAATTCAAATAAAACATAATCAGTGTTTATTGACATAATTCTGAAAATGTAAAACTGTATGAAATACTGATTTTGAATATTCGTGCAAATTCTACATTTTTTGACTTTCAAATAATTAAATCTCTTAAAATATATATGTAAGAAAAACTGAACAATTTTTTCGTTTTTGTTTTATTTTTTTTAATTACAATTGTATATATTGTTTATTTTATCACATATTGAATATATAATACTATGTACAATAAATAAATAACATTAGAACATAATTTTAATTTAGAATAATCAATGTTTCTTGGACAATATGTAATTTTAAAATAATATAATATTGTAAATGTTGTAGTTTTAAAATATTTTTTGCGTTCTCTTTAATTTATAGACAAAATTAGACAAAAAGCTATGCAAAATTTAATTTCTATTGGTTGGAAGCAAACTATAATACGTTCAATCTTAAAGTTAAAACAATATAATCAAAATAAATGATATCTGTTTCAGGATTTGCAAAACATTTTATTAAAAAATAATATAATACATAATGTATATAATATTACTGCGAAATTACTGAAATATTAAATATACACGTAATATATGATGATTGTACGATTCAGATTATCATTGTAGCAAATATTTATTGCGAACGTTGTGAGATTTTCAATAGGCGTTCTTTCGAAGAATTATCGCACTATATATGAAAAGGATGATATTCTCAATTTATCAACCATGTTAGCGGATCATGCGCAGGCTTTGCGTATGGTTGTTGGAAGGGATTTCAGAATCAACAATAGATCGATTGCGATCCCGTATGCTGTTGTTCTTTGACCGAGCACAATCAAAGACGTCTCTTAAACTCGAGATTTACTTAGGCATTTAAGATTAGGCGAAAAATTTAGCCATCTTAAACTTTATTTTTCTTGGCAACGAAAAATCTGTCAGAACTTGGTAAGTGACCTTTATTCAATTTTATTATAACGCAAAATTTAATTTTATTATTTAATTAGACCTGAAATTATTTAAACAATTTTTGCTTTGCGATTTTTCCAATAACTTCTTTGTTATACACATTTTTGTGCAAAATAAAGCCATAGTAAGTAAAGATAACAAGAGAATTTATTTTAACATGTATTACATCCAGCAAAATTGGATTTAATATAAGTAATTTAAATTTTGCTCTTTTTTAAGCAAATCTTATGTATTAACGATTTTTTTCGTCAAAGTGCTGGTTTTAATACTCATACACGCATCGCAACTATAATTATAACGCAAAAGTTTTTCACACTATAATTAGTTTATGTTTTAATGGTTACAAACCAAATAATGCGAAATGTGCGAATTCCATTCGTGCAAATAAAACTAATAGACACAACTAATTTTGCGACATTTTTTTGGATAGTAAACTTATCGAAGGAATAATCGTTATTGTTTTACAATGTTACTCACATATCCTCTACAAAGCTATATTTCTTTTTTTTTGCTTTTATGTACACGCATATAAAAAATAATTAGCAGTACTGATTTTATGATTCAAAATTAATGTAAGAGACAGATAAAGTACATTAGATATTGAAATAACTTATAAGTTTATATGTACATAAATCAGATTAAATTTTATGCTTTAGACTTAATGTTAGAACATTAATCTTTATATATATGATATGACCAAAATTAAATTTATATAATTTCAGATCAGTACATATAGTAATTATTGATAATAAAATTTTTAGAGAAGAAGACATTTAATTGATCAAACGTGAATGCTAGAAATTCAATTAGGACACACACAAGAAGATGGGTTTTAACACAAGCATGTTATTTCTACTTATTACCTTTAGCATATTGACGCATGAGACACTAGCGTACCTTCTTTGGCCTAATAAAGGTAAATGTTTTATTTTTTTCACATTGGACGCGCACAGTAATTGTTTATTATATGTATTTGCTATCATGATACTTTTCATATAACGTAGAGGGCTCAAATCATTAATAATTTTTAATGCATATATTTAGTCAACATAAATTTTCGTAAATTGTAAAATAATGAAGTTGTCAGTTTAATTTCACCGCAATGATAGAATAGATGTTTTACTGTACACAAATTGATGTATACTTTTTTATAGTGTACTATATGCGTTATAATTCAAATTTTGGCATAACGTATATGTTTTTGCAGCGTGTGCTTTATATTTTAACAAATATGAATGCTACGGAACTCAGAAGAGATGGTGGTATAATGAGTTGACCATGATATGTGAACCTTTTCTGTATGGAGGATGCTATGGAAGTGAAAATAATTTTCTCTCTGAGATGGACTGCTATTCGGCATGTGTACACCACGTACTTTATCCAGTTATACTCTTAGCACGTCTATTCGTGTAATTTATGTATTGATATGTATTTGTAATAATTTGATATTGAATTTCAACAGAAGTACTAAATGAAAAACTCTATGAAGTTTTTCTTAAAATGCAATTGCAAAAGTAGTTTTATTTTTACTAATAATGACTAATTAAATAAAATAGTACGGATATATGTATATATATATATATATATTTTTTTTTTTCCGTTTATATATATGTAAAATATGTGTGGAGATATATAACTAATTCAAAGAAAGTACTTCTTAATTAAACATTTTTTATCTTTTTTTACTATATTGGATAAATAATACTACGTACTGTAATTTAATAACATTAATGCAAACAATTCAAATAAAACATAATCAGTGTTAATCGAAATAATTTTGGAAATGTAAGACCATGAAATACTGACTAAATATTCATGCAAATTCTACAATTTTTTACTGTAACAAAAATAAATCTGTTGAAATATATATGTATGAAAAACTGGACAATTTTTTTGTTTTTGTTTTATTTTTTTTTATTATATGTTGTTTATTTTATTACATATTGAATATATAATACTATCTACAAGAATTTAATAACATCAGAATATAATTTTAATTTAGAATAATCATTGTTTCTTGGACCATATGTTATTTTAAAATATCACAATATTGTAAATGTTGTAATTCTAAAATATTGTTTGCGTTTTCTTTAACTTATAGACAAAATTATATATAAAGCAGTGCAAAATTTAATTTCTATTAGTTAGAAGCAAACTATAATATTTCAATCTTAAAGTTAAAACAATGTAATCAAAATAAATGATGTCTGTTTCAAGATTTGCAAAACATTTTATTAAAAAATAATATAATACGTAATGTATGATATTACTGCGAAATTACTAAAGTATTAAATATACACGTAATTTATAATGAGTGTACGGTTCACATTATCATTGTAGTAAATATTTATTGCGAACGTTGTGAGATTTTCAATAGGCGTCCTTTCGAACCTTATATATCGCACTATATATGAAAGGATGATATTCTCAATTTATCTGCCACGTTGTTAGCAGATCATGCGCAGGCTTTGCGTACGGCTGTTGGAAGGAGTTTTCGGAATCAACGATAGATGAATCGCGATCTAGCATGCCTGTCGTCTTTTGGCCGAGCACAGTCAAAGACGTCTCTTAAACTCGCAATTTACTAAGGCATGTAAAATTGAGCAAATAATTTAGCCATCTTAAACTCGATTCTTCTTAGGAAAGAAAAATCTGTCAGAACTAGGTAAGTGACCTCCATTCAATTTTATTATAACACTAAACTTAATTTTACTATTTAATTAGACCTGAAATTATTTAAATGATTCTTGCTTTGCGACTTTTCCAATAATTTCTTTGTTATACACATTTTTGTGCAAAATGAAGCCATAGTTAATAAAGATAACGAGAGAATTTATTTTAGCATGTATTACATCTAGCAAGATTGGATTTAATATAGGTAATTTAAATTTTGCCCTTTCTTAAGCAAATCTTATGTATTAAAGATTTCTTTCGTCAAAGTGTTGGTTTTAATACTTATACATGCATCGCAATTATAACAATAACGCAAAAGTTTTCACGCTATGATTAGCTTATGTTTTAACGGTTACGAACCAAATAATGCGAAACACGTATAACACATATAATGGAAATAATGCGAATTGTGCGAATTCCATTCGAGTAAATAAGACTAATAGACACAATCAATTTCGGAACATTTTTTTGCATAGTAAACTTATAGAAGGAATAATCGTCATTATTTTACAATGTTACTCACATTTCCTCTACAAAACTATATTTTTTTTGCTTTTATGTGCACGCAGATAAAAAATAATGAACAGTGCTAATTCTATGATTTAAAATTATTGTAAAGAACAGATAAATTACGTTATCTCTTGAAACAACTTATAAATTTATATGTACATAATCATATACATAAATTAGATTAGATTTTATGATTTACTTGTTAGAACGTTAATCTTACATGTTGTGATAGGACTAAAATTAAATTTATATAATTTCAGATCAGTATGTATATTAATTATTAATAATAAAATTTTCAGATAAGAAGAAATATAATTGATCTAACGTAACTGCTAGAAATATAATTAGGGCAACACACAAGAAGATGAGTTTTAACACAAGCTTATTATTTATACTTATTACCTTTAGTATATTGACGCATGAGACTCTAGCTTACTTTTTGTGGCCTAATAGTGGTAAGTGTTTTATTTCTCTCACATTGGACACGCACAGTAGACTCTTATCATATTTACTATCATGATAATTTTCATATAACGTATAGGACTCAAATCATAAATAATTATTTAATGCATATATTTAGCTATCATAAAATGCCATAAATTGTAAAAATTTGCAGTTGTTAGTTTAATTTCACCGCAATTAAAAAATAGGTATTTTACTGTATATAAATTGATGTATATTTTTTATAGTGTACTATACGCGTTAAGATTTAAATTTTGGCATAATGTATATGTTTTTACAGGGTGTAAACTTAAGTATCACAGAGGTCCTTGCGTCGAAGGACAGACGTATTTTCCCTATGTTAGATGGTGGTATAATGACAAGACAGATAAATGTGAAACTTTTTCATGGGGAGGTTGCAAAGGAAATCCAAATATTTATGACTCTGAGATAGAATGCATCTACGCATGTATACACGTCATTTTTTATCCATTGTTTCTTGTGGAACATATATTCCAGTAACCTATATATTAATATGTATTTCTAATAGTTTGATATTTAGTTAAAGTAGAAGTACTAAATAAATAACTTTGTGAGGTCTTCATAAAATTGCAAAAGTGTTTTAGTTTTACAATAATAACTAATTAAATGAAATGTACAGATACATATATGTAAAATATGTGGAAATATATATATAATATAAATGTAATTGAAAGAAAGTACTTCTTAATTATATATTTTTTACTTTGTTTTACTATATTGGGTAAATAATATTACGTACTGTAATTTAATAACATTAATTCAACAAACAACAAACAACATACAAAAACAGCAAACAATTCGAATAAACCATAATCAGTGTTTATCGAAATTATTTTGGAAATGTAACACTATGAAATTTTGCTTAAATATTCGTAAATTCTACATTTTTTGATTCTAATAAAATTAAATCTGTTGAAATATATATGTAAAAAAACTGAACAATTTTACGTTCTTGTTTTATTTTTTTATTATATATTGTTTATTTTATCACATATTAAATATACTATGTACAATAATTTAATAACATCAGAACATATAATTTTAATTTAGAATAATTGGTGTTAATTCGCACTTGTTGTAATTTTAAAATATTGTAATATTGTAAATATTGAAATTGTAAAATATTGTTAGCGATAATTTATAGACAAAATTAAATGTAAAAACTCTGCAAAATTTAAATTGAATCGGTTGCGACCAAACTATAAAGTTAAAACAATATAGTCAAAATAAATGATATCTGTTTCGAGATTTGCAAAACATTTTATTAAAAAATATAATACGTAATGTATAATATTACTGCAAAATTACTAAAATATTAAACAATATACACGTAATTTACGATGAGTGTACGGTTCAGATTATCATTGTAGCAAATATTTTTATTGCGAACGCCGTGAGATTTTCTATTGATGTCCTTTCGAAACCTTACCGCACGGTATATCACAACGATGATATTTACAATTTATCAACGTTGTTAGCAGATCATGCGCAAACTTTGCGTATGGCTGTTGGAAAGGGATTTCGGCATCAACGATAGATCGATTGCGATCCTGCATGATGTTCTCTTTTGGCCGAGTACAGTGAAAGACGTCTCTTAAACTCGCGATTTACTTAGGCATTTAAGATTGGGCGAAAAATTTAGCCATCTTAAACTCGATTCTTCTTAGGAAAGAGAAATCTGTCAGAACTTGGTAAGTGACCTCCATTCAATTTTATTATAACACTAAACTTAATTTTACTATTTAATTAGACTTGAAATTATTTAAACGATTCTTGCTTTGCGATTTTTCCAATAACTTCTTGTTATACATATTTTTGTGTAAAATAAAGCCATAGTAAGTAAAGATAACGAGAGAATTTATTTTAGCATGTATTACATCCAGAGATCCAAGATTGGATTTAATATAGGTAATTTAAATTTTGCTTTTTTTTAAGCAAATTTAATGTATTAAAGATTTTTTTCGTCAAATTGCTGGTTTTAATACTCAACACGCATCGCAATTATAACAATTGCGCAAAAGTTTTCACGCTATGATTAGCTTATGTCAGAGCTCGGAATTATTTCATTTTTTCAGCCGATTCTCGTGGTTTACGTCTTTTTTCCTCTCTTTACGGTAAGGAGAGAAAAGGAGGCGTATACCACGAGAATCGGCTGAAAAGATGAAATAATTCCGAGCTCTGGCTTATGTTTTAATGGTTACGAACCAAATAATGCGAAATGTGCGAATTCCATTCGAGCAAATAAGACTAATTGACATCAAAAAATTTTGCGACATATTTTTGCATAGTAAATTTATTAAAGAAATAATCGTTATTATTTTACAATGTTACTCACATCTTCTATAATGCTATATTTCCTTTTTTTGCTTTTATATGCACGCATATAAAAAATAATTAACAGTGCTGATTTTATGATTTAAAATTGTAAAAAACAGATAAAGTACATTAGATATTGAAACAACTTATAAGTTCATATGTACATAATTGTGTGCATAAATCAGATTAGATTTTATGCTTTAGACTTAATGTTAGAACATTAATCTTTATATATATGATATAACCAAAATTAAATTTATATAATTTCAGATCAGTACATATAGTAATTATTGATAATAAAATTTTCAGAGAAGAAGAAATTAAATTGATCTAACGTAACTGCTAGAAATATAATTAGGACAACACACAAAAAGATGGGTTTTAACACAAGCTTGTTATTTCTACTTATTACCTTCAGCATATTGACGCATGAGACACTAGCGTACCTTATTTGGCCTGATGATGGTAAGTGTTTTATTTCTCTCACATTGGACACGCACAGTAATTGTTTATTATATTTTCTATCATGATACTTTTCATATAACGTAGAAGACTCAAATCATTAATAATTTTTAATGTATATATTTAGTTACCATAAATTGTCGTAAATTGTAACAATATGAAGTTGTCAATATAATTCCACCGCAATGATAGAATAGATATTTTACTGTACAGAAATTGATGTATACTTTTTTATAGCGTACTATATGCGTTATAATTTAAATTTTGGCATAATGTATTTGTTTTTACAGCGTGTTACTATGCTCATTATCATGACAAAGATATTTGCAACGGAACTCAGCAGAGATGGTACTATGATTGGGTGACAAACAGATGTCATCCTTTTCTGTATGGGGAATGCGAAGGAAGTGCAAATAGATTTCTCTCTGAGTCGGACTGCCTTTACGCATGTTTACCCCACTTACTTAATCTATTTCTAGTCATCGCACGTCTATTCAAGTAATTTATGTATTGATAAGTATTTGTGATAATTTGATATTGAATTTCAACAGACGTACTAAATGAAAAACTCTGTGAGGTCTTTTTAAAATGCAATTGCAAATTTGTTTTATTTTACAATAATGACCAATTAAATGAAATGTACGGATGTATATATTTTATATATTTATATACATTTTAAAAACACCGCGATGTGAATATAGAATAAAAAGAATTAAGATAACAGTTAAGCGCGTGTGCTAATATAATAATATTGCTATAATAAATAACGAGAGGAGCGCCAGAGCGATATTTCCGTATTCAACAGCATGTCACGAAGGTCGTTGAGTGTGGAAAGAAGGATAACAATCTTGATTAAGTAATCGTATACCCACTCATGAAATAAAGCAGCATTAAAAATGTTTTACATATATATATATGTAAAGAGAGGAGATATATGTAATTGAAAAAAAGTACTTCTTAATTAAATATTTTTTATCTTTTTTACTATATTGTGTAAATAATACTACGTACTGTAATTTAATAACATTAATGCAAACAATTCGAATAAATTACACTGGCGGATTTTAGGGAGAAGGGGGGGGAGGGTTTGGGGTTAAACCTTCCTCCCTTTCCAAATAAAAAAAATCAATTTTACTGTTTCAAGAATCTTGGTAAAAAATGCATTAAACGTTAAAGCAGATTGAAAACCCCGCCATTATCGACATCAGGATCCGCTACTGATAAAACATAATCAGTGTTAATCGAAATAATTTTGGAAATGTAAGACTTTGAAATACTGATTAAATATTCATGCAATTTTTACATTTTTTTACTCTAACAAAAATAAATCTGTTGAAATATATATGTAAGAAAAACTGAACAATTTTTCTGTTTTTGTTTTATTCTTTTTTATTATATATTGTTTATTTTATCACATATTGAATATATAATACTATGTACCTACAATAATTGAATAACATCAGAACATAATTTTAATTTAGCATAATCAATGTTTCTTGGACCATATGTAATTTTTATATATTATAATATTGTAAATGTTGTAATTTTAAAATATTTTTTGCGTTTCCTTTAATTTATAGACGAATTTAAATATAAATCTGTGCGAAATTTAATTTCTATTGGATGGAAGCAAACTATAATACATTCAATCTTAAAGTTAAAACAATGTAATCAAAATAAATGATATCTGTTTCAGGATTTACAAAACATTTTATTAAAAATTAATATAATATAATACGTAATGTGTAATATTACTGCGAAATTACTAAAGTATTAAATATACATGTAATTTATGATGAATGTATGGTTCAGATTATCATTGTAGCAAATATTTATTGTGAACGTCGTGAGATACTCAATAGGCATCCTTTCGAAGCCTTATATATCGCACCATATATGAAAAGGATGATATTCTCAATTTATCTGCCACGTTGTTATCAGATCATGCGCAGGATTTGCGTACGGCTGTTGGAAGGGATTTCGGAATCAACAATAGATCGATCGCGATCTCGCATGCTGTTGTCCTTTGGCCATGCACAGTCAAAGACGTTTATTAAACTCGCGATTTATTTAGACATTGAAGATTAGGCGAAAAATTTAGCCATCTGAAACTCGATTCTTCTTAGGAAAGAAAAATCTGTCAGAACTTGGTAAGTGACCTGCATTCAATTTTATTATAACGCTAAATTTAATTTTAGTTTTAATTAGATTTGAAATTATTTAAACGATCCTTGCTTTGCGATTTTTCCAATAACTTCTTTGTTATACACATTTTTGTGAAAAAAAATAAAGCCATAGTAAGTAAAGATAACGAGAGAATTTATTTTAACATATGTTACACCCAACAAGATTAGATTTAATATAAGTAATTTGAATTTTGCCTGTTTTAAAGCAAATCTTATGTATTAACGATTTCTTTCGTCATGTGTGTTGGTTTTAATACTCATACACGCATCACAACTATAACTGTAACGCAAAAGTTTTTCACACTATGATTAATTTATGTTTTAATGGTTACGAACCAAATAATGCGAATTGTGCAAATTCCATTCGAGCGAATAAAACTAATAGACACAACCAATTTTGCGATATTTTTTTACATAGTCAACTTATCAAACGAATAATCGTTATTATTTTACAGTGTTACTCACATTTTCTTTACAAAGCTATATTTTCTTTTGCTTTTATATGCACGCATATAAAAAATAATGAACAGTGTTGATTTTATGATTTATAATTATTGTAAAGGATAGATAAATTACGTTGTCTATTAAAACAATTTATAAATTCATATGTATATAATCGTGTACATAAATCAGATCAGATTTTATGCTTTAGACTTAATGTTAAAACATTAATCTTTATATATATGATATGATCAAAATTAAATTTATATAATTTCAAATCAGTACGTATAGTAATTATTTATAATAAATTTTCAGAGAAGAAGAAATTAAATTGATCAAACGTAACTGCTAGAAATATAATCAGGACAATGCACAAGAAGATGAGTTTCAACACAAGCTTGTTATTTGTACTTATTACCTTCAGCATATTAACGCATGAGACACTAGCGTATATTTTCTGGCCTAGTTTTAGTAAGTGTTTTATTTCTCTCACATTGGACACGCACAGTAATTATTTATTATATTTGCTATTATGATACTTTTCATATAACGTAGAGAACTCAAATCATTAATAATTATTTAATGCATATTTAGCTATCATAAATTGACGTAAATTTTAAAAATTTGAAGTTGTCAGTTTAATTTCACCGCAATTAAAAAATAAGTATTTTACTGTATATAAATTAATGTATATTTTTTTATACTGTACTATATGCGTTTGGATTTAAATTTTAGCATAATGTATATGTTTTTACAGGGTGTGATATTAAACAAAACGTTCGTCCTTGCGACTCAGAACATAGGCTATTTATTTTTCATAAATGGTGGTATAATAAGGAGTCAAACAAATGTGAAACTTTTGTACTTTGGTTGGGTTGCAAAGTGTCTTTAAATAAATATGACTCTGAAATAGACTGCATTAAAGATTGCATATATACCCCTTTGCATATATTCCCACATTCAATAATACAATTCATTAATTTTTTGTTGAAACCTATATTTGATATGTTTTGATATGTATTTGTAATAGTTTGATATTGAGTTTAAATATAAGAACTAAATGAAAAACTTTGTGAGGTCTTTATAAAATACAACTGCTAAAGTGTTTTATTTTTATAATAATGACTAATTAAATAAATGTACAGATACATATATGTAAAATATGTGGAAAAATATATGTAATATAAAAGTAATTGAAAGAAAGTATTTCTTAATTAAATATTTTTCACCTTTTTTTACTATATTGGATAAATAATACTACGTGCTGTAATTTAATAATATTAATGCAAACAATTCGAATAAACCATAATCAGTGTTTATTTAAATTATTTTGGAAATATAACACTGTATGAAATTCTGATTAGATGTTCGTGCAAATTCTACATTTTTCGACTCTAAAAAAATGAAATCTGTTGAAATATATAGGTATGTAAGAAAAAGTACTGAACATTTTTTTTGTTTTTGTTTTATGTTCTTAATTATACTTTGTTTATTTTATCACATATTAAACACATAATATTAAACACATAATACTATGTACAATAATTTAATAACATCAGAACATATAATTTTAATTTAGAATAATCAATGTTTCTTGAGACCTGTAATTTTAAAATACTGTAATATTGTAAAAATTGAAATTTGAAAATATTGTTAGCGTTCCATAATTTATAGACGAAATTGGATGTAAAAGTTTTACGAAATTTAAATAGAATTGGCTAGAACCAAACTATAAAGTTCATTTATAAAGAGAAATTAATATAATCAAAATAAATGATATCTGCCTTGGGTTTTGCAAAACATTTTATTAAAAAATAATATAATACGTAATGTATAATATTACTGCAAAATTATTAAAGTATTAAACAATATACACGTAATTTATGATGAGTGTACGGTTCAGAATATCATTGTAGCAAATATTTATTGCGAACGTTGTAAGATTTTCAATAGGCGTTCTTTCGAAGACTTATTGCACTATATTTGAAAAGGATGATATTCTCAATTTATCAGCCATGTTGTTAGCAGATCATGCGCAGGCGTTGGGCTTTGCGTACGGCTGTTGGAAGGGATTTCGGAATCAACGATAGATCGATTGCGATCCCGCATGATGTTCTCTTTTGGCCGAGCACAGTGAAAGACGTCTTTTAAACTCGCGATTTACATAAGCATTGAAGATTAGGCGAAAAATTTAGCCATCTAAAACTCGATTCTTCTTAGGAAAGAAAAATCTGTCAGAACTTGGTAAGTGACCTTCATTCAATTCTATTATAACACTAAACTTAATTTTACTATTTAATTAGACCTGAAATTATTTAAACGATTCTTGCTTTGCGATTTTTCCAATAACTTCTTGTTATACATATTTTTGTGTAAAATGAAGCCGTAGTAAGTAAAGATAACGAGAGAATTTATTTTAGCATGTATTACACTCAACAAGATTAGATTTAATATAAGTAATTTGAATTTTGCCTGTTTTTAAGCAAATCTTATGTATTAACGATTTCTTTCGTCAATATGCTGGTTTTAATACTCATACACGCATCACAACTATAACTGTAACGCAAAAGTTTTTCACTCTATGATTAATTTATGTTTTAATGGTTACAAACCAAATAATGCGAATTGTGCAAATTCCATTCGAGCGAATAAAACTAATAGACACAACCAATTTTGCGACATTTTTTTACATAGTTAACTTATCAAACGAATAATCGTTATTATTTTACAATGTTACTCACATTTTCTCTACAAAGCTATATTTTTTTTGTTTTTATATGCACGCATATAAAAAATAATGAACAGTGTTGACTTTATGATTTATAATTATTGTAAGGGACAGATAAATTACGTTATCTCTTGAAACAACTTATAAATTCATATTTACATAATCGTATATATGAATCAGATTAGATTTTGTGATTTACTTGTTAGAACGTTAATCTTATATGTTGTGATACGACCAAAATTAAATTTATATAATTTCAGATCAGTACGTATAGTAATTATTGATAATAAAATTTTCAGAGTAGAAGAAATTAAATTGATCAAACGTAACTGCTAGAAATTCAATCATGACAACACACAAGAGGACGAGTTTCTACACAACCTTGTTATTTGTTCTTATTACCTTCAACATATTGACGCATGAGACATTAGCATACTATCTTTGGCCTAGCTTTGGTAAGTGTTTTATTTCTCTCACTTTGGACACGCATAGTAATCTTTTATTATATTTGCTATTATGATTCTTTTTATAGTTTAGAGGACTCAAATCATTAATAATTATTTAATGCATATATTGAGCTATCATAAATATTCATAAATTGTAAAAATATGAAGTGGTCAGTTTAATTTCACCGCAATAATGATAGAATAGATATTTTACTGTACATAAATTGATGTATATTTTTTTTATAGTGTACTATATGCGTCATGATTTAAATTTTGGCATAAAGTATATGTTTTTACAGGATGTGGGCAAATGTATGACAACCGTCTTTGCACTAGACTTTATGATAGATGGTGGTATAATAAGACGTCAAACCAATGTCAATCTTTTGTATTTGGGGGTTGCAACGAAAATTTCAATTATTATGAGACTAAGGCACATTGCATTAACGCATGTGTAAACCAGATGCCATATTCATTAATATTTTTTGCACATTCAATTTCTAAAATTTTTAACATTTGATATGTATTTGTAATAGTTTGATATTTAGTTTCAATGTAAAAATTAAATAAAAAACTCTGTGAGGTCTTTATAAAATACAATTACAAAAGTGTTTTATTTTTATAATAATGACTAATTAAATAAAATGTACAGATACATATATGTAAAATATGTGGAAATATATATGTAATATAAAAGTAATTGAAAGAAAGTATTTCTTAATTAAATATTTTTAACCTTTTTTTACTATATTGGGTAAATAATACTACGTGCTGTAATTTAATAATATTAATGCAAACAATTCGAATAAACCATAATCAGTGTTTATCTAAATTATTTTGGAAATGTAACACTGTATGAAATTCTGATTAGATGTTCGTGCAAATTCTACATTTTTCGACTCTAAAAAAATGAAATCTGTTGAAATATATAGGTAAGTAAGAAAAAATACTGAACATTTTTTTTGTTTGTTTTATGTTTTTAATTATATATTGTTTATTTTATCACATATTAAACACATAGTACTATGTACAATAATTTAATAACATCAAAACATATAATTTTAATTTAGAATAATCAATGTTTCTTGCGACCTATAATTTTAAAATACTGTAATATTGTAAATATTGTAATTTTAAAATATTGTTAGCGTTCCATAATTTATAGACAAAATTAGATGTAAAAGTTCTGCGAAATTAAATTTGAATATATTAGAACTAAATTATAAAGTTCAATTATAAAGGGAAAATAATATGATCAAAATAAATGATATCTGCCTCGGGTTTTGCAAAACATTTTATTAAAAAATAATATAATACGTAATGTATAATATTACTGCAAAATTATTAAAATATTAAGCAATATACACGTAATTTATGATGAGTGTACGGTTCAGAATATTATTGTAGCAAATATTTATTGCGAACGTTGTGAGATGTTCAATAGGCGTTCTTTCGAAGCCTTATCGCACTATATATGAAAAGGATGATATTCTCAATTTATCAGCCACGTTGTTAGCAGATCATGCGCAGGCGTTTGCGTACAGCTGTTGGAAGGAAATTTCGGAATCAACGATAGATCAATTGCGATCCCGCATGCTGTTTTCCTTTGGCCAAGCACAATCAAATACCTCTCTTAAACTCGCGATTTACTTAAGCATTGAAGATTAGGCGAAAAATTTAGCCATCTAAAACTCGATTCTTCTTAGGAAAGAAAAATCTGTCAGATCTAAGTAAGTGACCTTCATTCAATTTTATTATAACGCTAAATTTAATTTTAGTATTTAATTAGACCTGAAATTATTTAAACGATTCTTGCTTTGCGATTTTTCCAATAATTTCTTTGTTATACACATTTTTGTGCAAAATAAAGCCATAGTAAGTAAAAATAACGAGAGAATTTATTTTAACATGTATTACATCCAGCAAGATTAGATTTAATATAGGTAATTTAAATTTTGCCTCTTTTTAAGCAAATCTTATGTATTAACGATTTCTTTCGTCAAAGTGCAGGTTTTAATACTTATATACGCATCGCAACTATAACAGTAACACAAAAGTTTGTCGCACTATGATTAGCTTATATTTTAATAGTTACAAACCAAATAATGCGAAATGTGCGATTTCCATTCGAGCGAATAAAACTAATAAACACATCCAAGTTTGCGACATCTTTTTGCATAGTAAACTTATCGATGGAGTAATCGTTATTATTTACAATGTTACTCACATTTCCTTTACAAAGCTGTATTCCTTTTCTTTGCTTTTATGCACGCATATAAAAAATAATGAACAGTGCTGATTCTATGATTTATAATTATTGAAAAAGACAGATAAATTACTTTATCTCTTGAAGCAACTTATAAATTTATATTTACATAATTGTATATATGAATCAGATTAGATTTTATGATTTACTTGTTAGAACGTTAATTTTATATGTTGTGATAGGACCAATATTAAATTTATATAATTTCAGATTAGTACGTATAGTAATTATTGATAATAAAATTTTCAGAGAAGAAAAAATTAAATTGATCAAACGTAACTGCTAGAAATTTAATCATGACAACACACAAGAGGACGAGTTTCTACACAACCTTGTTATTTGTACTTATTACCTTCAACATATTGACGCATGAGACATTAGCATGCCATCTTCGGCCTAATATTGGTAAGTGTTTTATTTCTCTCACTTTGGACACGCATAGTAATCTTTTTTTATATTTGCTATTATGATTCTTTTCATATAGTTTAGAGGACTCAAATCATTAATAATTATTTAATGCATATATTTAGCTATTATAAATATTCATAAATTGTAAAAATGTGAAGTTGTCAGTTTAATTTCACCGCAATAATGATAGAATAGATATTTTACTGTACATAAATTGATATATATTTTTTTTATAGTGTACTATATGCGTCTATATGATTTAAATTTTGGCATAAAGTATATGTTTTTACAGGGTGTGGGCTCAAGTATGACAGAGGTATTTGCGTCCGTAGACTTTATTTTAGATGGTGGTATAATAAGACGTCAAACCAATGTGAATCTTTTCTATTTGGAGGTTGCAACAAAAATTTCAATAATTTTGAGACTAAGGTAGATTGCATTAACGCATGTGTAAACAAGATGCCATAATTATTGATACTTTTCGCACATTCAATTTTAAAACTTAAAATTTGATATGTATTTGTAATAGTTTCATATTTAGTTTAAATGTAAGAATTAAATTAAAAACTCTGTGAGGTCTTTATATAATACAATTGCAAAAGTGTTTTATTTTTACAATAATGACTAATTAATATATGTATAGATATATATATATATATATGTAAAATATGTGGAAATATATATGGAATTTAAAGAAAGTACTTCTTAATTAAATATTTTTCATCTTTTTTTATTATATTGGGTAAATAATATTACGTACAATAATTTAATAACATTATGGCAAATAATTTGAATAAAACATAATCTGTGTTTATTGAAATATTTTTTTGGTTAACTGTATTAAATTATTATCGTAATTATGCTAAATTATTATCAAAATGGTTGCACAGATGCAACAAAAGTACTATATTCTTTTTTTATATTTAGATATCTAACATATTTTAAAAGATTGATGTGCTTTTAGATATGTGAGGTAAATAGAAAACATATTCAAGTAAGAGAAATTATAATTTTAAAATTTACTAACTTTATTTATTATTTGTAAATAGATAAATATTATATAATAATAATAACTTTATATAAAATAAATTATATTTTTACGATGTTCAATGTTCAGTATCTAAATATATATATCAAATACATGGTCAACTACACGTAATCAATCATGCACCAGTAATAAGTTGGCGCTACGAATAAAAGTGATTATATTAAAATATATAGCAAAAGTTACTCTTTAATTGTTTTTGCGATATCCGTAGTTGCTCCACTTAATTAATTTATATTAATAATATTGTTACACGAAAACAGTCACCACTATTTATTTAGCCAATAAATCTATTTACACTTATTTTCCTTAAATCTGTTTTTATAAAAAAATTGCTCTTTAATTGCTCCTTTTATTCTCATTGTTAAATTTAAAATGTTTTGAGTTTTAAAGTAATTTCTAATTTGTTACCCACTGAGAATTGGTAAGTAGAGTCATCTAGCGAAATAATAGCGAATCTATGATGATATCGTATGCTCAAATAATCAACATTTATTAATTTTTATAATTGAAAACTCAAAAAATTAATAATAATAATAATAATTGATACGTGTATCAAATGATCGGTGTAAACTAATGTAAGCCATATTTTATACTTACGAAATGGTATTCAGATGGCGATGTTGTAGATTCTCAGATGGCGCATAAGTTTGTTTATAGTTACTTGAAGGAAAGTTATAATATGCTGTCAAAGTGCGGAACGAAGTTTTCTAACGATAACCAAAATCGGTGGAAGTGTGTTCAACATGGATAAATTATCGAAGCCGCAAATTATCTGTCACATCGAAAAATCGGTGGATTATTCACTGTTCGATGCGAAATGGATACCGTGCAGCGCGAAATTTGTGGTTATGGGCTCTCGACCTCGTGGTACCGGCATCATACAGATCTACGAGGTATCGAGCGGCGAGTTGAAGCTCATCAAGAATGTAGAGAGGTCCAACCAGATGAAATGCGGAACATTTAAGGCTTCCAGTCTGCGGGACAGACATTTAGCTACTGGTGATTTCAAGGTTTTTTTCTTTCAACAAATGTGTACATTTAATTTTTGCCCTCACCGTCTAACTTGTTCGTAAGTGAAAAACACTGTTTTGCAGGGTAAACTGAATATCTACAATTTAGAGGATCCGTCGATACCGGTTTATACAGCTAATGCTCACACGCAAATCATAAATGCCATTGATGGAGTAGCCGGCACTAGTATCGGGTGTGGTGCGCCAGAACTGGTGACTGGATCCAGAGATGGGAGTGTCAAGGTGTGGGATCCCAGACAAAAGGGCCGACCGGTGGCTATTATGGAGCCTAAGGAAGGAGAAACCCGACGAGATTGTTGGTCCGTTGCGTTCGGCAATTCTTACAATTCCGAAGAGAGAGTAGTAGCTGCGGGATACGACAATGGTGATGTCAAAATGTTCGACTTGAGGGCGATGTCAGTGAGGTGGGAGAGTAACCTGAAAAACGGAGTTTGCGGTCTTGAGTTTGACAGAAGAGACATCCCTATGAACAAACTGGTCGCCACTACACTGGAGTCCAAATTTTATCTCTTTGACCTGAAGACGCAGCATCCCAAAAAGGGCTTTGCCTATCTTGTCGAAAAGGTTCGTGTCTATCCAGAAGTAAAATTCATATTCTACAAGTGTATATTCACAAATTTGCAATCTCGACTGACTTTTAGGCGCACAAATCGACGATATGGTTGGTAAAACATCTGCCACAAAATCGTGAACTATTCGCGACGTGCGGCGGCGGAGGAACGATCTGCCTTTGGAAATAGTAAATATATCACTTTTTAAAAATAGCACCATTGGTTGCATCCTGTAAAAATGTACATTTCAAAAACTGACCGATGTTTATATTCTTTCTCAGTAATTATCCGGAGAAAAGAAAAACTGCAGACGTCGACGGAATCGAACAGGGTGTTGTAGGCAACGTCAGTTTGCTGCAGAACTCTACGCTCTCGTCGCAACCCATCAGTTCCTTAGATTGGAGCCCAGACAAGCAAGGACTCGCCGTCTGTACATCGTTTGATCAATGTCTGCGCGTTATCATCACTACGAAACTGAACACGTATTGATTAAACAGCAGTAAATATTGTAAATAAGTTTGTACTATAGTGAGTCGACGTTTACTTTGAAATTGTATGTTGCGTTTACGATAGCGGATAAAAAAGTTCCCAATTTATTTTATATCACCAAATAGAAATAATAAAAAAGAAAATGCTAAGAAACGGAAAAAGAATCTCGTCAAATTTGTTTGCTGCATGGCACCTCACTGCTACGATTACGCTAGAGATATCGATTTCTCGTTCTCGCGGATGCAAAATGTATTACGCAACGGCGAGCTGACAAAAGCGAATTATATGTCATTGGGCCAATCTATTTAGGATCGGACCCTTATTAAGCGTCGGCTATCTTGCACTCGGTCTTGCGAACATTACGCAATATATCGCGCACGCCGCGTCCGCCATTTCAGGCGTGTTCGGCCCACACGTCATCGCATTTACCTCCGTTGCATTGCACGGGAGCGCAGTGTTGCAGCCGCATAGCAAGGTCAGGAATACCTCGACTTTAATTACATGAATTAGCCGCCGCCGAGCCCACCTCTCGTCCATTCGCTGTCGCGATACGCCGTTATTAGATGCCACTTGTTTTATTTAACTTCTGTTCTTCAAGCTTTGTTTCATCCATTTTTTTTTTGTTTTTAATATTTTATTTAATTAATATTGAGGATTAAACAAATGCATAATTCAATCTTGAAAAAATAAAATGTTTAAGACAGTAGAAAGTATTATTAAAAATTTTAATATATATTTATTTCATTTCTCAAATGCGAGACACAAGAAAATTTGACTAAAACAAATCTATCACATGACGCTATCTTTGAATAATTTTTTTGTATTCACAGTTTTAAATTTAAATTTGACCAATATTTACAATGACACTGCGTCCACCATGATTTCGGATTAAAATGCATTCATGAGTTTGAATTCGCGTTTGCGTTATGAAATTGTTTAGAGATTTGTTATAATTTATTTATGTAGACCTTGCGATTTGTTGTAATTTGTACATTGATGATGGCCGAATCCCATGTGGCGAAGCTATATACGCTTTAATGTTTAATTAAAAATTGCAAGCACTAAAAATCCAGCTGACTCTTTCAACTCTTCAGATTATTTTCAATCTTACTTTTCTCGCACTCCAACTACTTTGCATTTTTACTAAAATTTCTACACATTTCGTATAAGACATCACATTCTTTTTCATTAATCTATCGCAATACAATAATACTGCTATTTGTTAATATTACGTATACGTTTGTTAACAAAACAAGGGTCTTAAATTTCTTCAGAAAATGCAATCCCGGGATATATAATAAAATTCTCCATTTAATATACTAGTCGAAATAAAAAGATAAACAGCGATCCTGGAAATGTACCAAGTGTCGGTTGGCTAATTGCACAGTGGGATGTGTGCATTTATGGGAGCGTGTACACGACGAACACGTCGACAGGTAGGGTAGTGTGCAATATCTGCTTCCTATTTTCGTGTCTCGATGGCGCACTTGGTGGTGTACTCCGTGACGACTTGGTCAACATCCAAGATCTGCATTGCTCGCGCTATAGCGCTATAACTTTTGAATCATAAGACTGAAACGTAACTAATAACTCAAAATAATCTTTTCACTTAAAGTTTAGTGAGATTCCGACTGCGGCAACCACGTTGACAACCCTACAATAGCCGTAAGGAGGACCGGAAACGAGGATAAAAGGAGATTTTAATGTGCAAAAATATTTTTATTTGCCTTAATTTCCTAGCGACGACAGAAGTCATGTCATTTGGTATCTTAATTAGGAAATGAATCTAAATCATTAGATCTTTGAATTAAAAAAAAAAAAAAACCTTAGAATTATTACGAAGAATGATAAGTTGAAAATTCGTATTGCTTATATCAAAATCTATTCTATACGTCGGTCGAAAGTATAAAAGTTGTTTAAATGATATATTTGTCAATGGAACCCTTAGTCGAATTTTCAAAAAATTGCAAGTATTAAAATGCGAGTTTCTTCATTAGCAGGTACATGTGTTGATCTATCTCGAAGCCGTGCAGATTGTTCGCGTCGCCCTGCAGCCTCATGAGTAGACCTCCGAAAGACACATAGGCCGATCTGTAAGCAAAAAGAAAAGCGCGATTAGTTGTGAGCCTGCGATGTCTTGCAATATGCTGGACGCGAGGGTTGTTCGGATAGCAGCGCTTTCATCGAAGCCGCCGTGAATGTTCTGCGCGATTTGCGGCGCTATTAGACATTACGCGATCGGGCGGTTATTTTGTGTTCAAGAAACAAACACTCTCTCCGTATCGAGATCATCAATGACGCTCCTCCTGGTGGCAGATCTGCGATCGTCATAATTGCAGTGCCGATAGCGGTCGTGTTACATAGATAGACCACACAACCAGCTAACCACACTGCCAACACGCCGATCGCTAAAGGAAGTTCATCCTTTAAACTATTAGAGAAAAGAAGTATATCCCGCTGCTGAAGACTTTTTCAAATACTCTCGCTTTTCAAGTCCGATCGATCGGTCATCCTCTTCTTATCGTGAGATCTTCTATCTTTATTTTACGGCGTGTAACACGCCGGGAAAGAAAACCAAACTATCTTGGCGAAGCCGTTGCTTCGGATTGCTTTTTTATTAGCGTTAGCTTACGCTACTCGCTAAATCGCTTAAAATTACGTTTTCCGAGTAGCTGAAATTATTCGATAGACAAAATAAAATACATAAATGAATTCCGGAACACGGAATTGGTTTTGTAACGCATAAAATGCGAAATCAACAAATTACAGTGTGATACAATGCAGAATACAAAACGTCGAATGAATTTGCACGAAGCGTAGCCATATTTTCTAATTAAATGCCGGAGTTATTGATGCCACCACAATGAGACGGCAAAAAATATCTTCCTTCGCCTGACACAATCATAATCACCGACCGCTTACATAATTATTACAACAATTGTCTCGGAGTCGGGCAATCAATGTCGTTCGTGGAAACGTACGCACAAATATGAAGTATTCCTCATTTCGGCCCCAAATATTGTTGGATTCGCGTAAATCCTTTGCTTTAAAGTGTCGGGCATCGAAGACCGCGGCGCCGATCACGCGTCATATAATCCTCTCGGTGTGACGTTAACTATTCTGCAATGTTGCGAAAACGCGCGCTACGTCGACGCGGTGTTTCACGAACGATTGCGGAAGCGTCAACGAGATTCCGAAATTTCGCGTGACTTGCGAAAGAGGCTGAGGTGAGGAAAATGCGAATGCCGACAAGAATACAGCGCACGTGTGTACGAGGTTTCCCTATCGATTGACCTTGCCTCCGATGAATCTCTTTCTTTCTCTTTCTCTCTCTCTCTCTTTCTCTCCCTCCGGCTCTAAGAGGCACGCGCTCCCGTAAGAGCTAATTATTTTTAACCAAGTATTTCGAGCTTCCGCTTTTGCGCGCGTTGGCTCCGCTTCTTTCTTCCCCTCTCCTCCTCCCCTTCTCCTCCGTCGCGCTTTTAATGGTACAGCTCTGCATCCTACGTAACTTCGCCAATGTAAACACGTTGAAATGCGTGTTATCGAAGTGAAATTTGAATTTTAATCCTCGGAAGTTTCTGAGTTTTACAATTTACTACGTGAAAATCGAGAGAATTTCGTTTATCAGTGCCTCGAAAAAATAAGTTTCGTTCAAGGTACTTTCTTACTTTTCGCTGGATTTCGGAATTACGACCGTGCGAATATGTTTTTTTTCCGAGTGATCGTTCAGAGATTAGATTTTCATTCATCGATTATTTTCAATCTTTTCCTTGAAGCGAGTGGGGGAATTTTCACTATGACAGATAATGATTTGACAATTCATTCTTCTCCTTGCTGTCTATCAAATGTAATCAATAACACATGGACAAGATGAATGAAGTAAAGTGAGAAAAACAGGCTCTCCCGATTGAAGTTATTAAGATCCATTTGTAGATAAGCAACTCAACTTCTATTGATGACTACTTCTTGTCTCGACGCTCTCTTGGTATTAATTAATAGAAATATTTACGAAAACAAAATCCGATGCATTACGCAATTATTACATAATCCTGCCGCTGCCAACGTGTCTCTTCTCACTTCCGTTGCCTGATTGCTACAAGGAAAAAGGCTTTTCGAAACCGTGGTTTTTGTGGTTCGGATGGTTTTTTTTTTTAAACCAATTAAATCAATTATTCACTAATAAAAGGCGCTGGTGAAATTAAATGGAGAACGCATTAGATGATTTTTATTATCTTTCGAGATACAATATATGATCCTATAAGCAATATGTGTGTATGTATGTGTGTGTGTGTGTGCACACGCGGTGTGCGAGCATGAATCGTTACGTATAAACGGAGCCTTGTTACATGAAACGAGTGTGGGCTGCAACACACACTCCTCCCTCGGTTAACAAATCCCTCGTCACGGACGATCGAACGCCATTACACATCTATTCATAGTGGAAGCCGTCATTGCCGATGATATCGCACAAAAAAAA